TTTCGTTAAATTTGTATTAAAATCAGAAATTGTAAGCTTAAAGTCTTCTTTGCATTTCGCAATTCATATTCATCCGTCGTTTAAATTGGAAGAATTTTTCACCGCGGGTGCAAAAATGCTTGATATTTCCAAGTCTACTTAATGCCATTGCGCTTTAATTATTTATGGCTACGGCGCCTCGGGGCTTTGAAAAAGTACTCTTTAAGCGGTGAAAGGATTAAAAGGTAATTTGTAGCAGTTTAAAGAATCCGGGTTTGCAAAATGCTTACGTTTTACCCCTACCATTGTAAATCATCAACAATTTCGAAGTATTTCTTGTTTGGTGATTTGTGAGAATGAAAGTTTTAAGTTTTTCTAACCAAGTTTTTTGTTGGATAGCAATGATAGTGAGTAAATCTAAAAAATAGGCATAGTTTATTTCAAACACTATATGATTTTAGGATATTTTTTTATAGATGCATGTTTAAACATTTTGTGGTAAAAATGAACATTGTGATAAATAGGGGTGTGAAATATTTATTCGCAAATTTTTCCTGGTTATCCAAAACATCCAGTTTTAACTAACTGTATATGTTTAGCATTTGGATCAATTTAAGATATATTTATTTTGCATATTTGTGCATATATTGCCATATTTTTGCATAAGTGAGTTGTAATTGCATATTTTTTACATATCCGGCATATCGGTATTTGGCACGTCAAATTTTAATATTTCTGAGCAGGCAAAAAAATTCTCCAAGAAAGAGCAACGGGCTTCCATTCTTCGGTGTCCACATAATGTGCGAGTTTACGTTTGTTCATTTGCTGCTCCAGAGCTTTCCGCGAACTTTCGGTCGCCTTTGCTTCTCTTGAAAAAAAATGGAGAAAGGAATAGTGTTTGTACCTCTGTAAATGTTCTCTTGCAACAGTTTAATTGGACTCATGGAAATATAAAGACCCCACTTCTCTTCTTTCCCTCCTATCATACTTCTCAGCTTTACCCAGTTTCTCATGCGTTTTCCATCGTGAAACATTATTTGCCTGTTGTGAACTGACTACTCCTAAAATGCCGAAAATCACCGCAAAGTCGTAAGATTTTGTTGAAAAGTATGTGCGTGAGTTTTTGAAGTGAGACTTTTAAGGGAGATGGTGACGTTTTATACTTTCAGTGCACTATTTTTCGTGGTCCTCTTGACCAATTAATATCATGCAATTAACTAAGGTTTTAAGTTGAGATAAAAAGTCTCGATAGGTCAAGTGGTAGAGTAGCGGCGTATCAAGCCGAAGGTCGTGGGTTCGAATCCCGTTCGTGACACTGACTTTTTTATCTCAACTCAAAACCTTAAGTAATTGTATGATATTAATTGGTCAAGCGGACCACGAAAAATAGTGAACTTAATGAATTAAAATGAAGTATACTTCACTAAAGCTCTTCGTGGCCATTTCACTTGTCGCCGAGAATCAAATAGATGACACATTTGAAAAATGGCAAAAAGGAGGGAAAATTCAAAAGGTGCGGTTGAGATGGGAAGTTAGTGCCCGAGGGGATCGAGTCACGATAGCTCAAGTGGTAGAGTAGCGGCGTATCAAGCCGAAGGTCGTGGGTTCGAATCCCGCTCGTGACACTGACTTTTTTATCTCAACTTAAAACCTTAATTAATTGTTTTATACTTTGTTGTGATAAACCTGTATCAACAGCTATACGTTTTTTGGTAACACAGCACATAAAGACGGCCAAACACAAGGACAACAAAGATAGGAAGTCTAAGTTTCAACATACTTTTGTGACACCACTGACACAAGTGCTCGGTCTGGAAAGTCCGGTTTCGATACAGATTTATGTCGTGCTTTAGGTAGTGCTACATACCCATCCATAAACTTAGCCATAAACAAAGATACCTAGAAATAGTGGCTAAAAATAGGGGCTCGCTTAAGATTTATACAGACGGGTCGAAGATGGCCAATAAAGTAGGATACGGATTTGTTGTCGGAAACCGACAATATAGCCTGAGACTACCCTCGATGTACAGTATATTCAATACCGAACTTATGGCCATATCCAGAGCGCTACCGATGTCCAATTGAACCATAATACGGTTGTTCTTTTTTGTGATTGCTACAGTGCCCTGCAAACCATTAAAAGTTATAATGTCGAAAACCCCCTAGTGAACAGGGTGAGGGAGACAGTGTATGAACTATACTTAAGGGCAATTTCCATTTCCTTTGTATGGATTCCAAGTCACATAGGAATAAAAAACAACGAATGGGCAGACGTTGTCGCTAAAACAGCCCTGCGCTTACCGGAATCTGAGCAGCCCGTGTGTGCAAAGGATCTCGTTTCAACCTTCAGAAGAGAGATATTAAAAAAATGGGAATCTGAATGGATGAATATTGGAGACAACAAACTAAAAAAGATAAAAGACAGCATTCACCCCTGGGAAACTTCCTATCAAACGAATAGGAGGGAAGAGGTTATCATCTGCCGACTCAGAATTGGACACACAAGAATAACACACGGGTTCTTGATGGAAGGTACTGACCCTCCTGTCTGCCTATGTGGTGAACGCCTAACCATCGAACACATCTTGTGCCCCCCAAGGAACTGCCAACGGTTTTACACATCTTCCTTACACCTCCCACTTAAACAACTCCTACAGGATAAGCAGCAAATGGTTGACAAAGTCATCGGGTATCTTAAAAAAATAAAACTATACAACTATATATAACAAGAACACTACATTAACACACAAATAACATAAACAACAAAATTCGGCTGGCTGTAAGCGCTCCCCAGAACTGACACACATACGAATCCACATACACACACTCACATACCACTGTACACACACGCACACATAGCTACATAAATGCAATGACAGTCCTTGCTGGTTTTTTGCCTATAAAAAAAATAATAAACTTAGCCACCCTGAATTCAAGGCTTTTTTTTGAGAAATACATGAAAAACCATTCCACACGAAAGTGCCCTCACGAAATCTCACATGGATCTTATGAATGAACACTCCATAAAATCAGAGGCTTCATCTGGGTTTCGATAGATGAGACAATGGATTTTTTAAATTTAAGTTTTTTTTAAATGCGTTTTTCTTTTTTAATATTCGCCGTGTGATGTTCCTCTTGCCACCGTTTCTCTTTTCAATACAACTATGTGATTTAATTTGAGGTTTCCATATTTTTTCTCATGGTAGTTTTTGCATATTTTCAGTTTTAAATTGCATTTTTTCACCAAATATATTTACATATATATGTGCATATTTGTCTGTTTTTATTGTATATAAATCACAGCCCTAGTGTTAAAGAAAGGAAGAGTTACTAAAGCACGGCTTTATCTCAACTTGAACCTTTGTGTTAAAGGTTCGTAACCTGCCGCATCAACGGGACGCTCCATTTTGTCTTTTAGCGTTCTGTAAGGAACGTATTTTGTTTGATTTTCCCCTTAACGATAATTATGCCCGGTTTAAATCCTATATTTTTTAAACGTGATTTCAATAGGAGTTCATTTTTCAAACGTTAAGGATAAGTTAATGGTGATACGCCTGTACCCTCGTCACCTAGCACCATCAATCAATACGTTCAAGATAATTACCGAGGTCTTCGTTCGGTTAAATGCTTTCTTATCTCGAAACTCGTTGCGCTCACGGCGTCAACCCTTTGTTCTACAGAGTTTCAAACTGTTGTACAATTCGTATAGAAATCGGTTTAAACTTATCGCGAAATTAATTTAAAAAAAATTAAGCCTTTGGAATTCTCTATGGTGTGTTGTTACAAAAGAGCGGCCATTTTACTAGTCTTTAGTCTTAAGATTTGCAAGAATCGATAAAAAAAAACATTTTAATACTGATATTTGATATTTTATATGAATATCAAATCCGGAACGGCAAATTTGGCAATAGTTATATATGAAAGTTTATACAGCGAGACCAGAACGGGGCCTAGGATGTTACCTTGTCATGCACCAACCTTGATTTCCAACAAATCAGATTATTCTTGTTCACTATCTCGGTACAATTTTTCCAAATGTTAAAAGGTCAATTCAATATATTGTACTTATGTGCCAATAACTAAATTGGTGCTTAATTTTACTTGGCCTACATTGGAAATACTGAAACCGGAGATCCCGGCCATGTCATCAAAGGAGTCTTCTCAGCGGAACCAATCGGCATTCGAACGGCACTGGACACCATATTAGGTGGAAATTCGAGGGAAGAGAAAGCGTTTATCCTGACGGATTCAAGGAGCTCGATAAAGAGCATAAAAAAATTTCAGCTTAAAGTAAGGTTGCTCCTATATGGTGTCCAAAATTATGGAACTCAGCCATAGGATATTAGAACGGCAAGGCGAATGGACCTTTTGTTCGATACGGAGCCATGGAGGAGTCCAAGGCAATGAGCTTGTGGACAGCATGGCTGTTAAAAAAGGGCAAAATTTAGAATCTCCCATCGCAGTTGAAGAGTTCAAAGTAAGTTTGAAAAAGGAAGTATATGACGTGGAACAAGCAACTAGAGCAACTATTCCCCTGGTAAATTTTACCGGGATATAAACCCGACGACCAGTAGGAGGCCGTGGTTCCTTAACTTCCCAATGTCTAAAAAAGAGTGCACTACAACAAATAGTGTCAGGTCTAACCACGGAATAAGTGGAACATATTTTAGACGGAGTGACCTATGTTTAGTATGCGCAGAGAGGAAAGACCTGGAACATCTCATAATGAAATGCAAAAAGAATAATAATGAAAGAACAAAAATGTTGGACAGGTTGTACGGAATTGGAAAGCTGATAAAGCTTCAGAATCTGAAAGGGAAACAGATGATCACTACCTGGTAGTAGAATGTAATAACCTTACTACCATTACTGAACTGAACTTTCATTAAATTTTTATTAAAATTAAAAAAATGAATTTAGGGAGATTTCGGTTTGTAACTGATCGATTTACTCAAAGACTTTAAATTCCATCAGGATCTTGATTAATAAACTGAAATTTAGGGAATAGTGAAAGAACAAACCTGAGAGTTGATGGCGAGGGCTTCAGAGACCGGGACGGTGTATTCTGTCCTCTCGAAGACGGGAGGGTTGTCGTTGACGTCCTGGACTTCGAGGAGGATGGTCAGGTTGCTGGTGAGAGGTGGCGAACCGCCGTCGAGGGCAGAGACGACCAAACTGTGCCTCTGGGCGCTTTCGTAGTCCAAGGGACCCTTGAGGAAAAGGTCTCCTGACTTGGGGTCTACTCGGAAGAGCCGGCCGTCGCTGAGGAGGCGGTAGACGACCCGGCCGAATTCACCGGAGTCGGCGTCTTCCGCGTGGACGGTGTAGAGGGGAGTACCGCTTCCTTCGCTCTCCCTCACTGATATCCTCACCTTGGACGATGCGAAACGCGGTGCGTTGTCGTTCACGTCTTCGATTTCGATATGGACCTGAAATAAAAAAAATTATTAAAAAAAAATTGTGGTGGTTTAGCGGTTTGTGTGGCATAGGAACCCACTATCAAAGAGTACCTCAGACAGAAGGATAGAAAATGAGGGAACAATGGAACTCACTCAATGGATATAAACAATCCAAGAACCTCCTAACAAATTTCGGAAGGAAAGAAGTTTATAGAAAGTGTAAAAGAAAGCAGGAAGAAACTGCGATTGTTAACAGGACACTGCAAACTAAATGAACATAACCAGTACCTTACACAAAGATTGATTAATTATTATTTATTCTCTCTCACTCTCTTTTTTTTCTTCTATCTGTTTCTCTCTTCTCTCTCTTTTTTAAATTGTATTTTTACCTGAGCGTGTCCGTAAGCGGGAGGAGAGCCGGATGTGGCTTGAACGTTCAGCAACAGGCTGGAGTGGTGTTCATGGTCCAGACGTCCTGTTGTTCGCAAAACGCCGGACGCAGGATCGATGTTGAAATATCCATCAGGGTCACCTGAATATATCGAGTAGCGCACTGCAGATTTTCCTGAAGAAAAAAATCTATATTAATTCGAATAATCCGAAAGAAAAATTAAATCTTGTTTTGTTCTGATTTTTAGTACTGAAACGTTAAAGGTCATTAACATTTTCATGTTAAGTGGTTTTCTAGGTTGATAAATAGTCCTTAAAAGATAACTGAACATAGATTGAACAAAAATGTTGAAAATGCGCACCATTTGAATACGTAGAAAGAGAATTTCGAGCATAAACAAGAGCCTGTTTATTTTATTTTTAAACGGGTTTTAATGGTAAAACCATAAACAGTAATGCATTACGCGGACAATAAAACGACCATGGTGGGCAAATAACTTTTTAATGTTACGTACAACATTAGCAGTCAGGGATCTGAAATCGATAAGCGATGAAATACCGCCCCTTTAGGACGACTAGATAAGATCTGTGGCGAGATTAGACTAACTACAGAACCATTTTGATGGCACTATTTATTGACTTTTTATAAAATAAGGGATAGGGATAGAAGAGGCGCTTACAAGGTTTTCTGCATCTCGATCTGAGTAGATCTATTAGGCTCCTATTATCCTGTATTGTTATAACTCACTGCTCAGCTTCATCAGGTTGTTAATCCACCTATCGCCTTATCAGCATCTTCTTAGTATAGGATCTTGCGGATTTTCCTCCCCTAGTTGCAAGAATCCACAGAACAGACACTCACAAAAACATGTCTCCTCTTCTTCCTGGCAGTATCTTCAACGTTCCTTTTGTGCGCCTTATTTAGACGACAGTCAGGAGTCCATCCAGAAGCCTGGTTTTTCTTCTTGCCGTCTTTCCTCTACCTACGTGACCAGAAACCGTTTGCTTTCCCCGAATCATTCCATTTCATAGCTCCTCAGGACACTGATCTTTTTCCTCATCTTTCTTATAGCATTGCCTTTTCACCAGAACTATCAGATCTATAGGAGGAGCGGAAGAAACTTGGAGGGCATGCGTAGATGTCGTTTTATACGCTTACATCATCCTCAGCATTGCATCTCTTTGGCTATGATCCAAAATGTTGTTTTGCTTCTCAGCTTAGGAGCCCATGCTGCTGTGACATAAGTTAGTAGGTAAACACTTTTATAGAGGGTGGCCTTTGAGCTTAATATCCAAGTTGGGCATGGTAAGTTTTGCGAATGTGTTTTGTTTTGTTTTTTCTCTCACTCTTAGCGATAGGGATGAAAGAGGCGGCTACAAGTACTTCTGCACATCGACCTGCTAGTTGATCTATTGGGCTCCCCTCTTTTTTATAACTCACTGGCGAGCTTCAGGTTGTTAATCATCATAGCTTTGCCAGCGGCTCGTTAGTGTAGGATCTTGCTTGAGGTTTTTCCTGATCTAGTTGCAAGAACCTGCACATACAACCTTCACAGAAATATAAAATGTTTCTGCGGTCTTCTCCTTTTCGTGGCAGTATCTGCACATCGTTTCTTCTGTCTGTACTCCTATCCGGTACTGTGCTTTCTTAAGTGGCAGTGCTCTGACAGGAGTCCAACCAGAATGCTGGTTCGGTTGCGGTTGCCTTCCAAGAGATTCCTTTGTAAATTTTGAGGATGGCCCTTCTATGAATATCTTCGCGCGCCCCATGCCTGGGGTGTTGTTCCACAAGGCTTTCGACTCATAAAGGATCCATTTTTCCACTCGTGTGGAAGATGCTAGGCCACAATAGGAATAAGGGCCTAGTGAATTAATAATTTGGTTATTTTTTGGCAACATGTCCACTAACTCATTGCCTCTGCGTCCCATACGCCTGGGACCTTTGCCATGGTCATTGGTGTAACTGAATTCTATCAGGGTTTACAATTCCATTATACTTGGAATGTAGGTTTATTTCTTTAGTGATTATTTTACAAATACCATGGGCAAATTTGTCCATTTTGGCCACCATTTAAATATGAAGGAAATAGAAATATTTCAAATGAAAATTTTTAAATCGTGAACATCCAATTATTTCAATCCGTTGAACTTCCGGCTTCGGGGTTACATTTACTCTCGACAGGAAGTAGTGAGAATGCAGATTATCCCCCCCCCCTTTTTAACGCCCCTCATAAAAGAGCCTAATTAAAAACCGCACTAGTTAAGAGTTAAATATCTCCGAGTGAATTTAATGTTTTTCTTGTCAGAGCGATAATCCACTTATACTGGTTTGGTCGGATAGTTTTCCCTCAGTTTGAATTATTACGCCGGCCTAAAGGAGCCGGACCAGTAATTATAAAACCGTCTTTATGAAAACGTATTAGGAGGCGCTTTTGGCCGGTGGCCTTTTCACACAGGACTCGCCGACTTAATAAGTTACTGATATAAGAAGTACCCCTAAGTCCCCTCTAAGTCGTGAAAAAATAGCAACGGATAAAATCTCGAACTGCATGATCATTTTGTTACGGTTCAATTGGTCCAATACCACAAGCTTCTATTGGATAATTCGCAGTAAAATAAAAACATAATATAACACTAAACTCAATCCTTCATAAAAGTTGTTTGATGAGTGTAGTTAATGAATACATTTTTGCATACATACAAATTTGATTTAGAGAGAGTCTTATCAATTAAGGCTTAAACACATAAAATAGGCTCAAGGAAGAGGAAACTTCAAGCTCATAACCCCTCAGTCTTCGCAGAAAATGACGAAATGGTCAAAACGCGTCTGACTAACAAAACTAGGTATAGGCAGATCATAAGAGACGATCAAACTAGTCAAACCTTGTACAGATCAAAAAGTTCTGCAGATTTAGCAACAATAAGTGCAGATGCAGGCTCAAGTCGCGTTCGGTTAACCAAAATAGCAAGTGTGGAAAACAAAAGTTAATGGGTCTGCAGATCTCAATAAGAACTTATAATTGCAAGAATTTTGGAACAAATCCAACTTTGAAGATAGGAAGTTATGAAACGAGCAAGACTTGGTAGACCAGAATAATCTGAGACGATCTAGTTCTCGTCCTCCAGTCCTTAATGAGAAATTGCTCTGTTTATTTAGCAATCGTCTATGAAAGAAATATTACTGTTGACCGCACTACAAGTCCATCAGCCCGCCGACCTCAACAATAACTGGTATGAAGACTGGTCACAGACCCAACTGATTATGGTGGAGTGTCCGCGCGTGGAGGATAAAACCACTTAGGCTAGACAGACCAGTACGAGTCGACCAAATTACAGGTTCATCACGACGCTGACCTCAACAAGAGCCGAAATGGATATTGAACCAAAAACCTACCAATAGGGATGTCATAGAGCTAAAATCCTTCTCACAAACTAANGATGTACAGCTGAAACGCATCTGACAGATTAAACAGGCAAGTAGAGATGGAAGTGTCTAGAAATGACAGAACTAGGTGTTCGTTTCTCCACAGATTTGATCACAACAGGCAACTGTCGATGATGGAATGATAAAACGAGTCTGGTGGACCAAAATAATCAGGATACAACCTGTATTAGTGGACGGTAAAGAACCAACTGATATGAGTAAGAACGGGTCTGAAGATTTAGCAATAAAAACCACCACTGAAGATTGGTAGTGCGATACGCTTTGGACAAATAAAACAATCTAGACAAGGCTGATCAAGGATCGGACGCTAAGCAGGCCTTATCTAATCTCGCGATTTAAACACAAACCTTCCAATGGAGATGACATTGAGCTAAAACGTGTCTGACAGACTAAACAGGCGTGACTAAATAGACGAAAAGACTGGAGAAGACCAAACTACAAGTTCATCACCCCTCATCAACAGGAATTTTGATATGAAAATTTAGTTTGATTCGGTAAAATAACTGGTCAAGGAAGAATAATATAAAGGATTTGGGACGATCAAGCTAGACAAAAGTACCTCAACGCTTAAACTTACAATTTAATTTGTCTCGAGAGAAGGGCATCAAAAGGGCTACAACTTACGCCCTTGAACATCACGCCCTTAATCTGAATTTGCAAATCATCACTGATTATGTCGTCGACCTTTCGTGCGCGCCAGCGTTAAATCGCAACCAGGGCAAAGCTGCTTTGATTTTTCCAGGCGACTTTTGAAAGAAACGAAAGGATTACAAACATTTGTCTACGTTAAAGGGATTAAAGGTAATTTATTATTGTCACATATTACCCCGCCTAGCGGCTCGCGTGGAAATAAGTCCGCCACCGATTCAATTACTCATAATTATACAGTGGCTTAGAAATTAAAAATACCTGTGTATTTTATTATTTCAATTATTTGAGTGCTGGGGCGTGTATAAGAGGTATTAATCTAAGAGTAAGCTTTACAAAAAAAAAGTTTAATTTTAAATTCAATACTTTCCATAAACGATTCTGTCTTAGAGAACCTTAAAAGCGGTTAGACTGGCAAAAAAGGCCTCGTAAAATCGAAAGTCAAGTAGCTTTTAAACTATTATCATGTAAAAAAATCACATCAAAGTGAGTGTATGCATCCAATATCTCCCAAAGCTGTGGAAACAACAACCCGATATCTTGGGTAACGAAAAAGCAGACACTGCCTAGAGGTTGACCTATGATCATATATAGGGCCTGAACCTATTTATGATATAACAAAAATACAGAATCATCCATCACAGAATAGGCAAAAGTAAAGTGCTAGACACAGTAATCTTATGCTACAGGGTAGGGATGAAAGAGGCGGCCACACTGCTTACTGTACACTGCACCTCGGCCTGAGTAGATCTATTGTGCTTCCCTGTTATTTATAACTCACTGGTCAGCTTCAGGTTATTAATCATCATCCATAGCTTTGCTAGCGGTTCCTTGGTGTAGAATCTTGCTTGTGGTTTTTCATGTCATAGTTGCAAGAACCTGCATCTACATAGACCTTCACAGAAACATAGAATGTGTTCTCATCCTCTTCCTGGCAGTATCTGCATAGTGTTTCTTCTGTCTGTACTCCTATCCGGTACATGTGCTTTCTTAAGTGGCTGTGCCAAGTCAGGAGTCCAACCAGAATCCTGGGGTTACGGTTACCTTACAATAATTCTTTTGTAAGTTTTGCAGATGGTCCT